GGATTAGTTCAATAACTTGCTCAAGGTGAGAATAAGGCAAAAATTTAACACTACAAAAATATGCGTTCTTGAACATTTGGGTTGTTAGTATACTGTATCAAATATTTTTATATACTACCTATTTATTTATTTGTTTATTTATTTGTCCATTAATACCACCTAGCTGCCCTTTGAGAAATGATGACCCTACCTTGTTAGTGTTTAATTACCAGCAAGCTTACCGGTGGGGGCTAACTACCGTGACCATATAAAATGTCAAATTTTAAAAATGGCAACAAGGATGTATTAGAACAAAAGGAAGAGTTGTCGACTCAGCATTCAGAGCTCAACGATTTGATTTAGGCAAACCTTTGTGTAAATTTCAAGGTTCCTCATAGTTAAAAATGTTGTGAGGCTGTGAGTTCTCCTTTTAAAATAATCTAAGTTGGTTTGGAATTTGTGAAAAGCATCTTGAGTGCTGCAGGAATTAGGAATGAATGTTATTAGTTATGATTTGCTATATTTTTATATGAAGGCTATTTTTCATGTGGGTAACATTGCCAGTTATAAAGCCGGATGCTGCAAGCAAGTACTTAGGGGATTCAGAGGGTTTAACTATGCCCTCCTCTCGGTCTATTCCTGATCCTTTCCAGTGTAAGAACTCATTTGAATGTTTCTTTAATAATCATTATATGCAATAGTAATGCTTCTTAATGTAATCGAAGTTCTTTTCAGCTAAAATAAATAGATAAATGAACAAATACATAAATGCAAACAGGCCTTATTGATCAAAATCAATGATGTTTGGTTGATAGTACCATACACGACTGATAAATCTTTACAAATAACATGGTAGCAATACGATGCCGTTTAAGATGAGAACTTTTATAAGGTGCTTTCCTGCTTACTGACTTTTCCAATACCCGAAATCTTCCCATAGATTTTAAAGGATGCCTGTCTTTATGTGGTACAAGATGAAAGGAGCGTTCCGCTCAAAAGGTTAAGGTATACTTTACTAGACTATGATGTAGACATCTTTCCTGTTACTTTATGCGAACTCCATAAGCTTCAACTACTTTTCGAGATCGAGCACAAAAGTCTATGATCTTTTAGCTAATTGAAACCTGTCGCTATCAAAGTAGAAGGTCAACGAGCGTAAATTATAAGTGCACACGTTTGGCGAACCAGGACATTTAGATGACACGCGCGCATGTTGAGATGCCGTCAATTTAGGACATTCTCTTATCAGTTCGATGAAATATCGGAGTAGTGGGTGCGTCTATGAAAGACAAATGTGGTGAGAAGAATGGCGTTTTATTCACTTTGAGTGGAAAGGACCTGCAAATTTGGTTGCTCGTTTACTATGTTTAACAGCAAACGTGATACTATGTTCACAGAAATAGGTACCTGCTCTTAATTTCATACAATCCATAGTTGCTTATGAAGCTTTTGCATCACAATGATTATTTATCACTTTTTTAGCTTTTAATTATCTCCTTCAAGGCTTAATTGACTAATATTTCCATCTATAATATATGTTAGTCAGTTCTCGGTTAGATCTTGATTTGTTGAT